AAGTATCTTGGTGTGGTGTGCGAGCATTGTAGTGAGTTGTACAAACATCCTACTATATGTACGGATATTTTACTGTGTGGTGCAAGCGGTTTGTTGCATGGTGCAAGCATCCTAGTAGGGCTACTATGCTTATGTGCTGGTGAAACGCTCATTCTTTATCCATACATTCTTCAAATGTAGGATTGGAGGCATTACAATCTCCTTACCTTTAAAGCCTAACATTATTGTCAAGCTGAGTTCAACAACAAAACCAAAATCATACCAAATGTTGAGATTCTAGAAATACGATGTAGTATTAGTTTCATCGACTGGTGATCATTCTGATACTATTTGTGAAGACCCACACCCAACCTGTAAGATATTGTCTGCTTTGATCCGAAGATCTCATGATTTTATCATACAAAATGTGACTTACAAGTTTTAGATTTAAATCTCAACTTATATATCATATCATATTCACATATTCTTTCAATGTAGGATTGAAGGTGTTACAATATCTCCACCTTTAAAGTTTGATATTCATGTCAAGCTAAGTCAATTACAAGACTAAAATCACACCAAACATTGAGATTTTAAAAGTAGTTCCCCACCGTATAACACTTAGTGACTCCCACGATGTAACACTTAGTTTTCGCTGACTGATGATCTCTCTTATATCATATGTGGAGACTTACATCTAACCTGCGAGGTATTATCCATTTTGATCTGAAAGTTTTACAATTTTATCCCATAAAAAGTACCTCACAAGTTTTAAGTTTAAGTCTCAACTTATATATCATACATTATCCACACATTCTTCCAATGTGAGATTAGAAGCATTATAATAAGTTCCAGTAGGTAGTGAGAAGGTTAAAAGGATAGGCATTTGTTTATGTAATACCACTAAAAGCATGGAGAGCTTATATACATATGATCTAGGTGAAGAAACAGGAGACTCTACAACTCAGAATGATGCACAAAGGAGCAGCTAATAAGACAGATTAAAGATAGAGTAAGGCTAAGACTAATAGGAGTGAAGAATATAGTATTGGATCATGTAAATCAAATACTGTATGACAGATGGGAGTTGAGTAAAGATATGTTTGTATAGCACTAATTGGACACTATTGTGATTGCTTGTAGCAATTTTACTGCTTCGATAATAAATACATTACTTTTCCAAAAAAAATTATTCAAATGTACTCCATGTAAAAGTATAAAATTGATTGAATTTTTAGTGTTTAATATATTTTTCAAATCATGTTATTTAATTTTGTAAAGAATTACATTTTTAAGCTTCTAAATACAAGAAAAAAGAAGCAAAATAACAATCAAATAGAGCTTTTTTTGAACCACCAAATGAAGAGCTTTTTGTTACGAGTGTATGGAAAGTGTATATTAATATACCTGCTAGTTTATTAAAACTATATTTTGAAAAATAAAATAAAATTCATGTTTTTTTTTTTTTCAGAAAAAGAAAGTTACTTGATGGATGAGTAGTTTTGTTTTTTTTTTTTTTTAATTAGTGTAAAAAAGTTTGTTTTAGTTTAAAAGATCTCTAGTTTTATATTAGTAAAACAAAAAATGTGTTTTTTTAAGTGAAAAGGCATATACATCTCAACTTTTATAATAGTATTGTAAATTTGTTTTGCTTTTAAAAAATTTATAACCTCATATTAACTTGTAACATCAAACTTACCATTATATATTAATATCAACAGGGTTTTGATTTACCGGTAAAAAAGAGTTTCTAAAATCTTAAGATATTAGATTCAAGTCATAATGTGTGTGTGTTTGATTCAACTTTAAGTTAAATTTTTTTAGTTATATTCTAGTTTGGTGATTAATTATTCTGTGATTTCTTATATATGAATCATAATAAACTAAATAAGAATAAATATTACTATATTTGTGGTATGTTCATTTATTTTATAAATTATTTGTGTTCAGTAAAGAATTTTTACATTATGATCGAATTTGATTCATTTACATATTAAAATTCAAGTTCAATTTAAAATTAATTCATTTAAGTTAAAACAAACTCGTTCATAAATATTAAACAAACATATTTATAAATATTTAAACATATATAAACTAATAACTAATGAATTGCTTTTTTAGACCAATGACTTGGGTTACAGTGAATTGGGCATACCTATTATAAAGAGTTTCTTTCTCTACCTTGACTTTTCAAACTATGTGGGATAAAAATATTATTAGTAAAAAGTCTTTATAACTTGTTTGTTGTCCATTTTAGGTGATTAAAAATTATATTTATAATAATATTTTATAAAACATTATGAAATATTTTTAATATATGTTATTTGTATCTTTTAATGTATTAATATTAAATTGTAATTAAAATCTTGTTAAAAATATTTAATCATAAAATATTCATCTTTTAATAAAAGAAAAAAATAAATAAATATTTATTAAATTTATTCACAAATGTTAAATTAATTTATTCATGAGTATAAACTAATGAAATAAATTATCATTTGTGTTTAGTTTGTTTATTAAATGAATATTAAAATATTATTCAAAATTATCTATTAAATTTAATAAATTAATATAAATTAATAAAAATCAAATATTTTTATGAATAATTTATCAAAATTATATTTGTTTACACTCTTATTTTTCTTATATTGGTAATTTCATAAAAAAAAATTATATATTAATAACTGCTTATAATTATTATTATGTCTTATGTCCAAATAAGTAACACGCCAACAATATCTACCAATGATTAAATTAATATGCTCTGAGATCTCAACTACTAGTTTCCTAATGGGACAATTACGCATGTTAATTATTTTGTTGAAAATATCAAAATTTTCTTGTTAATTATCATTATACCCTGAATGGTTGTTCAATCTAATAAACGCAGTTAAAGTTCCATATTATTTATTTTAAAATAAAATATTAAACTTTCGATTTTAATAATTAAAAATATTTTTTATAACAACCTTAATTTAAAGGAAAAGTTCAATGTGCAAAATAATTCTCCCGAATTACAACCAATGAAGAGCCATCAATTTCTCTATGATTTGAGGAAAAATAGGACGGATGGGGTACAAGAAAGATTTGAAGAAAAATAGGGTAAATGAAGTACAAAAAATTGACTACATGCAAGAAATTCGAAGACTTTGATTGATCTCCTTAAAGTTGCAAAAATTATCTTAATTTTACTCCCTTAAAATTGTGAAATTTTACTTAATAATCAACAATATTAATTTTTATTATTAAATAAATTTAATATTCTACTAATAAATCAAGTAACGATTTTTTTTACTACTAATATTTAAAAAAAAAATACAAGTTGATTCAGGTCCACAAAAATATACTTCATTAATTAACACTAACCATATATTGAAATGCTAAGTCCCGAAGAATATTCCACAAAGAATCGAAGGAGATCATACAAAGAATTAGAGCGAAGTGACAAAATTTATAGGTAAGATGATTAAATTGACATCACTGACAAATTAGAAGAAGTCGCATTAACACTTCATTGAACAAGTTGTTATGCATAAAATGACAATTTCATTGGATTTAAATAAGTAAACAACGTATAAATGAACTCAAAATTTAATTTAATTTATTGATATAATTATTTTTAAAAAATGATATTTAACAGATTTGAAATTTAAATTTTAATACTTGTAATATTTTTTTTTATATCAAATTTTGACTTATTTTGTAAAAAATTGGTAAATGAATTGCATATCTTAGAAAAAACTTAATTAATCGCCAACTCTAGGAGCCTAAAGTAGCAATCACGTACATCAACTCAATAGTTTCATCAATTACAATTATGAATGAGCTTCCAAGTACCAAGCATAGGTTTGTTATATTCTACTAAGCATATTTGTCCTGATTTCCACAGTACTAATGCTAGTCTATAAAATGGAACACATCAGAATTCATTCTCCATTCTCTTGTAATACATTTGGGTTCAATCACTCATTGGAGTTATTTTCATGGTAAGTCAAACCAACCAGGAAATTACATCCCAAGATTATCCTTGTTTCTGCCTATCGTTTTTAGCTTTTTAGTACTCCCTCTTAATACATCTTATTCTATTTGGTTGATTGTTTTTGTCTCTTTCACTTAATAACCATCCATCCAAGAGTTGATAAACGTTTTTCGTTTTGGATGAAACGTAGATGGGGATGCTAAATCTGCAAAGCCGATTATCGAAGCAGCAGATTCGATTAGCAACTCGATCACTTACGGATTGATTGAAGGGGACCTCAAGAATGAGTTCAGCAGCTTCACAATCAAAATTGAAGCAGCTAAAAAGGACGAAGGCTATAAAGTGCACTTGACTGTAGGATACATAAAGCTGAATGATGTTGCACGTCGACAGACACTGCTTGATTTGGGAATCCAAGTCTTCCAAGTGCTTGGTCAATACCTCGCCCAAGCATAGGTTGTTTAATACTATGAAAAGTGACAGCAGCTTTGTTATGCATATGTAATCGTGTGCGTTTGGTTTGGATATGCGTGAACTAAGAAAAGCTTTTATGTATATGTTATGTTGTTCCTTGAGCTAATGTATCTAATGTTTGTATTTGTGTACGCATATGGGTGAGTTGGTAACAATAAATAAAATCACTGCTGAATTGGCATCAAATGGCATTGGTTTTTTTTTTAAAAAAGAATTCCATTTTTTTTAAGATTTTACCAAGGTTGAGTTTCCTTTAGGCCCTGTTTTTAAAATCATTTTTAAAATCTGATTTTTATGAGAAAAGACTATATATGAATTTACATCTCAATTGTTTCTCCTGTATCTTATTTGCTTTCCAAAGGGTTTTGATACAAAAATTTTCAAGTCAAAGAAATATCAATTAATAATGAAATAGCTATTAAATTAAGTTGGCTAAAGTTTATCAATGTGAATCTAATTTAAAAAATGATTGCTTTAATCACTTTGGTTACATTTTATTATTTTTTTTACTATTTCTTTTTTGTTAATTTTTTGAGGCAACTAGTATTTGTTATCAAGAACGACGGCCGAACATTTCTATAGTTATTTTTAAATAATAATTATACAATATTGTAATATGCATGGGCCATGGTCTTTACTGTACATTATAATACAACCCCTGTATATGTCACACAATATATCGTTATGGTCCTTTTGCCATGTTCCATATTCAAATAGAAAATGTATATTTATGAAACTGAATTCAATCTAATTATTAATTCTGAAAGCAAACTGCATCTTAGCCCATATTTGCAGTTCTTGCATACTTGTCAACCTGTGAAATGTCGAGGATTTCGTCCATTCCACTTGCCAAGAGAAACCTGGAAATGCTCAACAAAGTTTAAAAATGTAAGACAGAAAGCGAAAATCAACACAACAGAGAATTTGGAAAACCATCTTTAAAATGTGACTTACTTGTCTCTAAGAACTCTTGTCATTAATTGACAACCTCCAGTCACTGAAGATTGCATATTTACAGCGATGTTTGGGTTGTGGATACTCTGCCTTATGTGCACCCAACCAAGTTCTTCATTTTTTTCATTTGAAACTTTTGCCCTGAAGTTCTTGCAGCGAAGCAGAACTTTTGATCATTACATCATTTTATAGAACGACTTGGGTTGAAAGAATTGTTTATAAAAAATAATTTCAAGTCATCTAACAATTCCACTTGTATTTTAAGAAAAAAAATATATTAAACGTTTTATTTTAACTGTTTTGCACCTGTACATGTGAGCATCAATGGCAGCTGGACTGTCGTTTGTGTCCACAAGGCAGCCTTCGCTTACCCAGCAGTCTCCACAGGAATCTAATTCCCATCCTTCAAGCTGACCTTCCTGCAAGCATTGTCTCAATGACACAAAGGAAGTCTTAGAACCTTTTAAGTTCCATGTTCAAGTCCTATCCTGTACGTGTGCTTTATTTAATTATTGATTTCTTCAACTTCTTTTAGATGCATTACGTCATTAGATACTGAAAATTGTTTTGACTTTGATTACAATTTAGGTACCTCAACGTAAGATCGGAATGCTTCAATCGCCTCTGTACCTCTTGCCTTTGCATATTTAGGCTCAGAGATGATATTCATCCTAAGCTCGATAGACTCCAATGGTTCTTCAAGATCTTTTATTAGACTACCTATTCCTTCATCTGATCCAGCAAGCTTCATGCGTACCATTTCAATGATGATTTTCACTACCATAAAAGCCCCTATAGAATTAAAATCAAAACCATATGTTCAGTGACCCTGGAAACCAAGTTAAAGGGTGAGAGAAAAGAAAATAGCAAGAAACAGGACGCTCACCATCGTCCAGGAAATAATTCTCTTTGAGTGCACCGTGTCCTGAAGTTTCCATCATGAGATGTGTTTCAATGCCATCCTCGTTCAGGTGAACGCCCTTATCGATAACATTCCGGTAACCGACACGATACAAGCAATGGTGTCCTCCTCTATTAGTGATAAATCTTGTCAGTGCCATGCTTGTACGAGCATCAGTAATAATGGTGGTACTAGGATGTTCCTTCAAAACAATGGCAGACATAAGGGCTATTAGCTTGTCACCATTGATGGGATTGCCTTTGTTGTCGACTACACCACTGCGGTCTACATCAGTGTCAAAAACAATCCCGAGATCGGCAGAGTTTTCAAGCACGGCAGCTTTTGTTAATGCCATGGCAGTTTTATCTTCAGGATTGGGGATGTGATTCGGGAACATCCCATCTGGATTCAGGTGGAGAGAACCAAAGGTATCTGCTCCAAGTTTTTCTAACACATCCCATGTGAAGAAACCTCCTGATCCATTTCCAGCATTTACAATTATCTGCAATTAGATGCAATGTTAGCAAAATTATAACAAGTTAAATGTAAATTTTTACTTTTTTTATAATGCATAAATATTTTGGGACTCTGTTATATGGGTTGGGTTGAGCAGGCCAAGCCCTTTCTTTAAAACGTTGGCCTGCTCTTCATATCAATGGCCCTTACTCTGACAAATCTTGGCCACATGAAAACTAGGCCTGATTTTGGATAAGCCTACAGCTTAACCAGCACCATATATATTATTTCCTCTATATCCAATCGGACGCCAAAAAAAAAAAAAAAGTGAGAAACCAACAGAGTTTCGAAGGAAAACGAATATTAACGACATACATATACACAAGTAAATCACTAAAAGAAAACAGGCAACAAAACCTGAAACCCCTTGAGTGGAGTGTCATAGTGAACAGGATGGTTCACTCTCTCCTTGATAATGTCCCGGAGGTGCTTCGCGTAAGCACTCATAAAGTCAACCTTTTTGGGAGGAGAGTTAAGCATGGTCGATACTTTTGTGAGCCTGTTCGCGTACTTGCGGGCAGCTTTGTCACAAATCTCTTCGACCTCTGGCGAGGTTAGCCCTCCTTTCTTAGTGAAGAATTTCAGACCGTTCCGGGTATAGGGCAAGTGAGAAGCAGTCATCTGCAACAACATTATTTAATCTTGTCATTTTCCCTTCCATAGAAACATACATATATTCACCATAATTTTGATTCCAGCATACATTTAGTACCGAGCAATGTATCTAGTTCGCCAAGGAATTTTAAGGTTCTGGTTTAGATGTTTTAATACGGATGATAAATTAGGTAATAAATTAAGGAATGAATTGTTATGTAATCTAACCAATATGTCAAAAAAATTAATGGAAAATAGCTTAAGCTGAATTTTGTTTAAGACTGCTTTCACTCTACCATTATTGAAGCATCGTAGGCAAATGGTGGCAGCAATGTGCTCATAAAACAAGCTGGTGTCGTAGCAAGGCCCATGTCAAATACCAAGCAACCAGCTCGAGCAAGGCCTGCAAATACTGCTACACTCAGAAAAGCTCCTGATATTCGAGGGTCTTTACCAAGTGATACTCTAACATCTTCCACTGGACTTGCTCGTTCCTTTTCCAAGGCCTTAATAACCCACTCCCCAAAACTCTCCGCAATTGCTTCCACGGCTGGAGGAGTAAGGTCCACGGTTCGACCCTTTTCACCTTCCAATGCAACCCCTCGAACGTCGGACCCGTTTTGGAGTCTCCTAATCTTGTCCATCTCTTCATCAACGACCACTTCATCATACTTCACAGTACTGCCAGAAGATTTAACGCATATAACTTTACTTGACCTTGATGAAAATGAAAATCTAAGCGTCTTTTGGAGTGCACTTTTTGCTAGTGATGATGAGAAACCCGCTTTTCGAGCATTTCCTTGCAAGGGTATTGAGGTTGTTGAAGTAGAAGCCATGGATTTGTGTTCAAGTTGGCACAATTGGTCTGTGTGAAAAATCCTGGAAGTATGGTTTTTGGACAGAGGAAGGTAGGAAAGATAAGCTTAACCCAATGAACAATAACCTTACAATAGAATTCAGTAGCTATCCAGGAAAAAATATCTGTAAACAAACTTCCAATTGGTTCGATTTTTCCTTGTTTTATTTTATTGAAAGCATTACTGCCTTTTGTTCTTGCCTTGCACGATGTGCAATTGATAATTCCCTGTATGAGAAGAAAGCAACAGTATATTCTTTCAGGGTGCCACGCAAGTAAATATTGTGGAAAAAAATAAAAAGAATAGTTTATATTTAATATATTATTAGTATATAAATTTTATATGTTATCAATAAATCAAATGATAAAAATCAATTAATGAATAAATATAAATTTTTAAAGTAAATATATACAAATTAAAATAACTCACTTCTTAATAAATTATTATTATCTGATTTATCTTACTTTTTTCATTTATATTTATTCAAATGTGTGATATATAAAATAATAAAAACGTGAGATATTTAAAACAAAAAATAACTGCAACCATATATCATATATCATTTTACATTACTAAACATGTAAAATAACATGCAATGCTCGTATAAATGAATTTGATAAATTATTGAAATTTTTCAAACTATAAATAGATTTATTTTTCAATATATTTGAAAAAATCATTTTAAGAAACTATTTAATGGAATATTTTCAATGAAAAAATTGTTGAAAATATTGCTAAGTAGTTTCTAGCTAGTGCCTCAATGTATTAAATCAATTTTATTTGCAGAAAAAAATTACTTAATTATATTAATATTATATTCTTTCTCTTTAATAATTTATTTAAAACAACTATTTATACTTTTCTTTTTAACTTTACTAATTAAAAATAATTGTAAAATAGTATTTTTATCTTATAAATTATTAATAAAAAATTTACTAATCATTTAATTTTCATTAACATAGCAAACAACATTTATATCATAACTTAATTACTTAAAATTTTCAAAACTAAAATTTTAGTACTTAATTTTTAATAGCATTGAATTTGTTCCCTTTTTCAAGTAGCTAATTATAAAAATACTTATAATACTTTCATTTTTTAAAATTGAATTGCTTGATGACATGTAAATAGTTAAGCATGCTAAGGATTGGATTAATTATTTGTCTAAACTTGAAGGAGCATCCGATATTTTGGAAGAGTTAAAAAAAATGTATTAAATTCATTAAATTAGTTTGGACAAAAAATTAGATTTGTTTAAATAATGGGTGACTTTTAACATTTAAGGTTCAGACCAATTTTTGCAATTTTTAACATATATATTAATTTTTGTTTTTATATCATTATTTATATTATATAAAGGATAAATGTATATAATATTAGTAGTCTCAACATTGGAAAATATGTTAAAATCCATTTTTAATATTTAATACAAGACAAAAGTAAAATTACTAAAGTTAAATAAAAAATAACATGTTTTTTATTTTTTATTTTTTAGAAAAAAAAAAATTGGATGAAACTACGCTTTACCATTTATTAATTTGCACCCGTTAATTAAAATTTAATATTCTAATTTTCGAATCTGATCAAACTTAAATAAGCATGAATGATATTAATACTGTACCTAAACCCAACTTAACCGGGCCATGGACACCTTTGATTGAGTGTATACACTATATTTTAAGGACCCTAATTGACATGTTTTGTGCAAAATCCAAACCACAATTTCATCTTCAAGCCTTTCTAAAAATGGGTCGGCTTTTCAAGCTTAGGCATGTTGTAGGGCTTTCTTATTTTTCTAATCCTTAGACCTGTAAAGGATCTTGATCCAAACCCACTTAAATATGACCCAATTTTGTAGGCTTGGTCAGGTTGACTTGCTTGACTTTGGAGTCAAGGCCGAAATTCAGCGAATAGTTTCTTTTTTATTTTAGAATTTTGTTAATATTCCTTTCGTCTTTTTTTTTTTTAATGGATTCCTCCTATTTTTCTGGATGTTTTATTTTTTTTTTTCATTTTTTAAACACTTATTAGTCTTATTGTTTAGACTTTCACTCTTTGACATTAAAATCTATGAAACTTTACATTTCTAAAAAAATAAAACTTTTAATATAAAATACATCAAAATCAATTTTTTTTCTTAATTCAGTGAAATCAAAGAGTCGGGCAAGACCAAAAGAATAATTGGCATGTTTAGCATTTTCAAAACACCGTCAACGAGATTTTGATTTAATGGTAAAGAGAAGCTTTAGGACCTTGAGGTATTAAGTTCAAAATTTATTATGCATGAATTTGATTATTTAGTTAAATTATAGTGTATTTATTAATTATTCAGTGATGTAATAATTTGATTGTTAAGATCATTATATGAATATAATGATAGATTATAATTGTAACTTAAAACAATATTTGCAAAGCACGTGATTCTAAAACAACTTCCGGATCTAGCAAGTAAAATAAATAAACAATACAGTTCCCAATTTGATGCGGATAGATGCACCAAGTATATTGCAATCAATCATATTGATAATATAACAGGGCCAGTCAGTTCATCTCATACTGCAACAAGTCAACATCCAACCAAATTGAAGTAACTCCAGCCAGTTTTACTGAATTATATATTATGTTATTAAAACAAGATTACAGTTCGGTTTCTGTTTATGAAATACAGAACAATACCGATACTCATTTCAAGCACAGAACATGAAGAGTGAGACCCATACGTAAATTACAAATCAAGTAGCAACAAAGATATACTTAATCCATACCTTCACTTTCCAAACCCTTACATCCAGGAACTTCAATCCACTCCAGTTGGATTAACACTTCCCCACACTCAACATTTCTGAGTTTGAGATGCATGTCTTGGGTGATCTTCCCATTGTTCCATAAGACGCTGCTCTCATCAGCAAGGCAGTTAGTCCTGCCTGGCTGTATTTTTTTGAGTGCACAACCATTTGAGAGATTTTTCAAACCCTTCCCCATCTTCAAGGCTGCTATATATGGTTTAATGTCTATCTCTGCATTGCCCATTTGATCATCCACAGTAAACGTGTCTTTGTCATACACGGTCTGCAATAGACAAAGCAAATTGAATGGGATTAGAAGAAAGTCCACTATATATTGTTTCTGCTTCAAAATATCCGTCCCAACTACGGATGATAATGAAGTTTTGGCACATATACAACAGGCACAAGCAGCAATTATCCATAATTTGTGTTCCTCTATACAGACTTTAGTACTGAATAATATTCAGCATTCGGCCTTCACCATTGCAATAAATATTGGATGTTACTTACTAAATTGATTGGAACATTAGGTTCTTTGATTGCAAGTGTCAATTCATCGTTCCACTCGGGATTGCAGTTCTTTTTCACCACACGGGTCTTCAATTTCTGTAGAAATTTATTCAACAGTGTCAGAAAAATCCACTCATTAACAACTAAAAAGCTTCAAATCATTAATTTGCCTTAGTTGACATCAATGAAAACTCAGCCTTCAAGAAATATACATGAAATTTCTTGTTCCAAGCAACTTATCTCACTATCTAAACAAAGTTTCAGGGCATTTCTTAAATGCAAGTTTTCAGAACCTCCCCAAGTCACTGAAGACAGGATCTCATAAACATATATGCTAGGTTCTTTCAGTCCATCCCAGAGGCTCTATTTGGACTCCTACAAGTTCCTCTTTGATATAAACTTACTTCCATGTAATCATACTGTTCTGAACCGTAATTGCGAGCAAAGATGCAGATTGAGAAAAGTGCTGAAGTATATCAAACCTAACAAGTAGCTATGACTAAAATGGATCTATCAGCAACCGGAATTCTAGGCAATGAAATTACAAGAAATCATACTATAGAATCTTAAAAATTAATCGTCTTCCAGGAGAAAGAAAAAGAAGGAAATTGCATTTCTTCAACAGGATGATATGCATAACAAGAATTTGATTTCAGATCGAGAATCAGAGCAAATTAAGCCAAATACCTAAACATAATTTCCCAAGCAGACAAGTAGAAAGAAAAGAAATCCACCACCGATCATGATAAAACAAATTTAGGGTAAAAAACACAGGCTGAGAGATTAAGAAAAGATTAAGGCAAACAGACCTGTTGACCCATGGTGATGACAACATAAGGATCACTGCTAAAGGTATCACGAACAGTAAGATTGATGCCTCTTTGCACCCTGATTCTGAGAAGTCCCATTGTGTCCTCCATTGCAACAAAAGAGCTATTCGAGACAAATCGAAACGAAAGCTTTCTTTAACTTCGTCTGGATTGTGATGCAATAATATAAAAATTTGACAAGCACAACACAACAAGCATATCCTTTGTACGTGACCGGTGGCCCAACCAGAGGAATCTTTCCAGTTTCCACAATCTGTGACTGGGTCTCAGTGCAACGTGTCATGGTTCAGACAGTTGCTCCACCGCTGCCTTCGCTCTGCCCTTGTTTTGTTTTTAAGGCTGTGTGATCACGACCAGAAGTTAACCCCACATCTTCTCAACAATGTGATTGATACGAGGGAGCAAACGGATACAACCAATGGTGTAGTTCCATTTTAATTATAACAGCATAATTAGTTTTTCAGTTTTCTTAATTCCGAAATAACAAAACTATGGTATGATGTTTCAATATCTATATCTATACTATATATTTTCCAATTTGTGAAGAGGTACTAGAAGTCTAGAACTATATCATGTGGGCGTGCATCAGATAGTTTAGCAATATTGGTTTCTATAATCACATTTGCCTACGCTGTAGTGTTGATGCTGTTCTCCTTGCTGATCTAACTGCAACTACTTCAGCTTGAAGAAACTCAATACCACAATGTCCAATGACAAAATTGAAAGTTGTACTCTCAACTAAGGAGAGACTGTGCAACTTATGACTTCCTAAAGATTGAGATATAATTGGAGCCACATCTTCTTACGTAAAAGTGACAGTGTGAAGTACCTTTAAATGTTAATGTAAAGGTGAAATTGATCATCCAGTCACCTTCACACTTTTCGTTTTTGTAAGTTTCCCCAATGGAATTACCCACAAACAGGATAAAGGAATAATTCTTTCGAGTATTCTAATCAGTCATCATCAATACTTGAAAATCTTTCAAAGATGGGTAACCCATTTTCTTTTTCCTGGCAATGCCCAAATATCGCTGCATTTTTGGGCTTTAATATTATATATTAGGTTACAGTGTCTACTTGTTTCAATATAGCTACTAGACCCACCCATATAAACAAACATTATATTCTTTTTAAAACAAACACCAATTTGAAAGCAACTGCAAAGCATATCTTCCTCTGTATAATACATCCTTTGCATTGGGTCATATTCCTTGATAATGTATTGACTGAGACTGAGAGTGCCCTTAAATCTTTTCTCTGTAAATCGCTTGTGACCCCTGCCAGGACCCATGTTCCAAGTTCATAACTCAGCTCTCAGTAAACAAAAAGTGGTACGGAATTGGAACAACGGAATTGCTGAAACAAAAATCCAAGAGACAGACAGGTAATGAGCAATTTCAATGAGACTCCTGTACAATTACGTAATCAAGGGTATTATGGGCTTTGATGATGGCCCAACCCAACATGTACAAAATGATATTCTGCTCTTATAATGGGAAACACCAAACTAAACTCGACTACTCGAGGGCAATAAAATATAAGTATGTATTGTGTATATGGTAAATCGAAAGAGTGATATTCAAACATTGTAATAATTGTTACATTTGATGCCTTTTTCTAGTCCTTGGTTGCAATGGAATCATGCTCATACTACTCAATGTCCCATGCGGGTAAGAGCAAGCTAGATTTTTCTTTTATATGTTAAGGGATGAACTTCTTCAAGCTTCAATATCTTCTACGGATCAAGATGCACTCATAAGTCCAATGTTGAAAGAAAAAATCAAAATTGTTATGTTCTCTATGAATAATGAAAAAGCTCCTGGTCTTGACGGATACACAGCCCATTTCTTCAAGCAATCTTGGTCCATTGTTGGTGAGGATGTTACAAATGCTATATTGCACTTCTTTCAAACTAAGGATATACTTTCTGCATTTAACTCAACCATTATCACATTAGTTCCAAAGTGTGCAAATCCAAGCAGGATTAAAGATTACAGGCCCATATCATGTTGTATTATCATTTACAAGTGCATTACCAGGATTTTGGCAAATAAGCTTAAAAATATCCTGCCAAATATCATAAACAAAAGTCAAAGTGCTTTCATAGAGGAGGAGCATCACAGATAATGTGCTTATGGCACAGGAGATGGTAAAGGGATATGGTAGAACCACATTATCCCTAAGGTATGCTACAAAGATTGATTTGCAAAAGGCTTTCGATACATTGGATTGGAATTTTATCCACAACATTTTGGCAGCCATTGGATTGCCTTCAAATTTTATAGGCTGGATCAACAATTGTATTACAACCCCAATGTTTTCTATATCACTTAATGGAGGGCTAATGGGCTATTTTCAAGGTGCTAGAGGAATAAGGCAAGGGGATCCACTCTCTCCGTATCTATTTGCTATAGTAATGAATGTGTTGTCAAGAATGCTAGATGAAGCTGCCAAGTTTAGAGTGTTTGCCTATCATCCTAAGTGCAAGAAGATTAAGCTAACACATTTATGTTTTACGGATGATTTGTTGATTTTTGCAAAAGGAAACAAGGATTCAATCATTGGTGTCAATGAGGTTATGCAAGCTTTTTACTTGTTTTCAGGGCTGCAACTAAATTGTGAAAAGAGTGAGATATATGCCACAGGAATAGGCAGGGAAGAGATCCAATTAATTCAACAAGCCATAGGATTCAAAGTAGGCTTACTCACTGTCAGATACTTAGGAGTCCTACTAGTCACTAGAAGACTCACTGCAAAAGATTGTGCTCCATTGCTTGAGAAGATCACAGCTAGGATTAAAGGATGGATTAATAAAAACTTATCTTATGCTAGAAGACTACGGCTAATCCAGTCAGTACTCTTCAACTTACACAATTATTGGTGTAAACATTTTATATTGCCTAAGCATGTGTTAAAAAAGATCAATCAACTCTGCTCTAGCTTCTTTTAGAAAGGCCATGAAGGGACTGCCAGAGGAGCTAAAGTCAGCTGGGAAGCCGTTTGTCACCTTAAGTCTGAAGAAGGGTTAGGTATAAAAAACACACTAACTTGGAACAAGTCATGCATGATGAGGAATATTTGGTCTATTTTCTCAAAAGCAGGATCTATATGGATAGCTTGGATTGAAGCCTATGTCTTGAAAGGCATAAGTATAAGGTAAGTTGAACCACAGCAGGGTAACAATTGGGGTTGGAGGAAACTACTTCAACTCTGAACTATTGCATGCCAATTCATAAAAACAGGAAAATGGTATTGAGGTGTGGCCTGTCACAAGCAATGGCTATTCTATTGCAGTGGTTTGGAATGAGATAAGTTCTAAGTAACAAAAGGTTGAGTGGCACAGACTAATCTGGTTTCAATATCGTATCCTGAAGCACTCAATGATTGCATGGATGACAATACTAAATAAGCTTCCTACAAAAGATAGATTGAGGAATTGGAGAATGGAGGTGGATGAAAGATGCTACCTATGTCAACATGGGAAGGAATCTACGGACCACCTATTTTTTGGTTGTGAGTATACAAAAATAGTGTGGAGAAGGGTATTACAATCATGCAAGATTGACAGAGTAGTCGAGGAATGGACTGAAGAATTGAAATGGGCAGTAACAAGGATAAAAGGCAAGACATTGATATCAGTAGTATTGCGCATTGCTCAGAATGCTCATATATATTATATATGGAGAGAAAGGAACCACAGATTATTCAAGAATAAAGAAGAAACAGAAGAACAAGTGTATGAGCTTATTAAGGAAGTTGTTAGGACTCGATTACATGCATTGCATTCGATTGCTGAGAGCCAGTCAACTTGATTTTGTGTGATGCATGAAATATAGATAAAGCTATATTACATAATAGCTAGAATATAATTTGATTGCATATATGGAGTGTATGTACTGTAGCAATTTTATTGCTTCTTTTGGATAAATAAAATACAACTTATCCAAAAAAAAAAAAAAATACACCAACGTCCCTGAATTGAGCCAAATGCTAGGTGCAACAACAAGCTAAATTCAGAATTGATCATGATGTGACTTCTCTCAACCATAAATGGTCCAAGCCGTTCCCCTTTGGTACCATACATACGTATATTCATGAAACTTAATAAAGATTTTCCATTCATTTCTTACATGCTTAGTTAATCCGCCCATAAAAAGATTTTAGCGACAACCACCTAAGTGGGGGGCTGTGAATGAACCACAATTGGTCCCTCTTGCACCTACAGTTTTTTTAATAAAATCAATTTTCAAATTCATTTTTTATGTATTTATCAAAGGAATTTTTAAATTTAATAATTGAATTATAAAACTAACAAATATATTTTATATTAATTTTGTTAATATTCTCTGAGGGGGCATATATCACTTTTCCTGATGATTAGACTTGCCTAAAAATGGAGTTATCCGTCTAAATTCCAAAACTTATACTATATATGTGAGAGAATATGGATAAAATTACTAATTTCCATTATTAGATTTAGATAAAGAAATAAAATTTGTTTAAAAAAAAAATCAAATCTTAAGTCCAACATTTAAGGTAAGGTCTGAACTTGACCACACACTACAAAGAGGAGAATAACTCTAGTAAGATTGAATTAAAACCTCACACATGATTTAAAAGTTTTAAAAGCTCATAGTATACCATTTAAGACAAGATCTCACAGGCTTTTCTTTTCCTAGCTAGACAATGTGGTAATCACATGATCATGACAGGTGTGGGCATGCATTTTTCACGTCAAACAAAAAAAAGTGCATCATTGCTTGCAATCGGAAACAGAAAAAGCCACTAACATTTATGCTTTTGATGGTGCGATACAAGTTAAATAATGGGCATCATTGTATTTTCCAAACTAAGAATATTCTTGATTCTTCAAACAGGTATAGAACATTTGTTTCTGCTTCTTTTGCCTGACGGTGGAGTTTGAATCACATGGTGGAAACATTGAACAATTAATGAACAACACTACAACAGCTAGGAAACGGAAAAATGACGAGATTTTACACAAAAGAATATCCTCACCCGCAGTAAAGTAAGCATAAAATCTCCCAACTTCAACGTTGTGCTGTGCAAATGACAGCCATGAATTTGGAGGTGAACCGCTAAAGCAGGGCTACACGCCACTTGATGACTTGAAACTGCACATGGGCATGGCATAGATCAACCCTTACGTTTTATTCGCTGAGAATTATACCAATTCTGGTATTGTGGCATCTGCTCAAAAGATTAGTTCTCTGGCAATATAATAGCTAGAAAATACCAAACCTGGAAACAACGCTGGGCACCTTTTTTGCTTTACTTATTAACTGGAATAAATCCTTATGGCCTAAAATCAAGCAACTTTCAGTTGATTCTTTTTTTTTTTTTTTCTTGTTAAATTACCAACTCTGCCTTTAAAGTACCACCTATAATTAGCCAATCGCATCAATTTGAACATATTACGTGAATAAAGACAGGCTGGTGCTCGTCGGTGTTGTATATTGAGAGTGACTAAGGCTAACAATTAAAGAATTTGAAGAATAAACTTTAGGTAAGCACTTGGAAAGCTACTTCAAGGATAATAGTTTTCACATTCAGTTGCAAAATGACTCCTGAAAATGTTATCTTTATATATAATACAAAGCCCAAATGAAAAAATTCAAGATTGGATTTCAAGAATTTCTTAAACACCATGAACCATAAAACAGAAATGAGAGTGAGAGAGAATAATTTGATTTTCAAGAGATTTAGAGTAAAAGAGTGTTAAATGAACGTCAATAGAAATATTTATAAGTTTCAATCGATGTTTGAAACACCTCTTCATAAATAAACATCACTTAAATAAAATATCATCACTTTTTGAAATGAAGTAACGTGTCCAATGAAAATATTTTTGATTTACCAACAATTTGTATCTGCATATTGAAATATATTACTATATCAAATTAATTCAAAATTTAATTTCATTGATCTAATTTATCTTCGTGACATCTAATCAATATAATTGTTTCATGTGTATACGCTACATGTTAAATGAAAAGACACGTTACTTTGTGAAAACTCCACATCGCATTCAACAACCTGTGATGAATGTCTGTGAAAAAACATATGGTTGTTTGTTTATTTGGCCCTAAAAAAGTTGTTGATGGTTTTGTATGACGTATATGACGTGGAAAATTGGTCAGACACCAAATACTTATGGCATGTTAACGGCCTTTGTGTTGAAATCAAAAAAATAAAAAAACATTAAACAAAATTAATTTGATTAATTGGCCTTTAAAAGGTTTGTTGATGGTTCTGTATGATGTATATGTCATGATGATCATATTGGCACGAAATTAAATACACGTGTAGGATCAGCAATGTGGACTTGGAGGCAAAATGTTACGATAATTAAATTTTAAATTTTAAATTTATTAAATATTATTTTTTAAAAATAATTATATAAATCAATTGAAATAAATTTTTAATTTATTTAAAACTTAGTTTTGACTTAAATGAATCAAAATTAATGCCCTCATAGTCAAAGATTTCCATTAAATTTTTGCCTATAATGAAAGGGACGATCTAGTTAAGGTATTTATTTTAATTAAATTAACCACGTGCAAAAGAGGACAAAAAGAAAAAAAAGCTTTATCTATTTTTCGAAACTACATTATGTTCCTTTAAGAATAGATATGTAATCCCTACCCTCTTTATTTTTATGTACTGCATGCAAAAGGCTCATCTAAATGGTCCAATATCTAATCTCTCGGAGAAAAAAACAATACTAGCTAGTACTAAATTGAATTTCGAAAAATAATGAACATGCTTGCCGTTCACACCAAAGTAGGCAAACTTTCATGGTGATTCATCATTCACATGAAAACGTTCTATGAAGAAAACGTGTCAATGTATAATATTAATTAACCAAATCAGTTTTTTTTTATTTTTTAATTCTCAAATAGAGAGTTGTTTAGCTCACATATAATTGAATAAATATTGAATATTACAAAAAAGTTAATTTTAAATTTAACTCGATGTTCTATATATAAAAAAAATTTTCATTTTCTTTATTATTAGTTAATTAATATTACAAATTTCATGACCTAGAGTACTCTTTCCCATTACCTAGAAAGGTATTTTCTATATTTTACAAGAAAAAGACCATGGCGGATCCATAATATTCCCCTCGTCCCAGTTAATTATTTGTTATATATTTTGATTTTTAGTGGTCAATTCTTTTTCGAATGAATGATCAAAATTGTAAATATTATTTAATATTTTTATTGATAAAAATATGAACTCCATTTTAAATAATATAGTAGTAGTACTTTTGATCATAATTGTGATTACCTTTTATACAAAAAAATTTAAGTAAAAGGAAATTATCTTATTCATGATAAAGACAATCATAAATTGCAATAAAAATTTATATTAGACTTACAAATTATCTACAAATAAAGATTATTAATTATAAGGATTGAATTTAAATCGTACCATTGAAATATTTAGAGTAGGCGGTTTTGAGCCTCTAGGGCAGGCTCAGAAGGGCTGTGCTTAAATTTCACTCAATTTGTATGATCTGTTCGCTAATCTACCCTTTCATCCTCTTAACAAACCACGTTAAACTTATCCACACTCAAAACTATTCAATCTAAAACCTCCGCCACCGTTGTAGCCGCGCGCACCACCGTCTTCCACCATTAATTTTAGTTTTTTTTTTTTTTAAACCTCAGAACGTAGCTAGCTAGGAACGATGAATTGAATGTGAGCACGTTTGCTAGAGGAGCTCGAGAATTTGTTGAATCTGCCTGTGGGATATTAAAGAGAAAGGCAGAAGTGTGGGAGCAACATGAAAAAAAAATGTTTGGTTGTTTCAAATGTAAGTGTTTTAAGTATTCCAATTTCATTAAGATATACGATATATATATATATATATATAGTATGAAGATTACTTGAGTATTATTATTTGCTTAACCAATTATGCCAAGGTCTTCTTTTGGATATAAACTTATATATATGTTTAGAAGGATTTACTAATTTATTTTTTTTAATATTTAAGCGCAATTTTGGAAGAAGAGGGAACCCAAATCCAATTCTTTGAACAAAAGGATATATGTATGTACCTATCGTTGAGTCCAATACCTGAATGCTTTTTATAGTCTAATTGTGCATGTAGATACACATTGCCATCATTTTCATTTATTTTTTGGCTTAATTACCAAAAAAAATTACAAAGACTTATCATCATCATCATCATCATCATCATCATCATCATCTAAACTTCTATTTTATTATAACAATGAATTGAATTTTTTATACAATTATTTGTATTCAATTAAATCTTTATATTGATGAAAACATTAACATTGTTAACTCTTTTTATCAACTAAAACATGTGACGTTTATGATATGGGTTAAATTTCACTATGAGATAAAAAATAATAAAACCATAAGAGTGTAAGTGCAATTTAACTAAAATAAAATTTTAAAAAAATCACTAGAAAATATATAATATCATGCTTAAATGGCTAAATCTTACGTTCATAAGAAAAAAGAGGCGTTTGTGGGAAATTGATTGAGGACCTAATATATTTTTTTAATTTAAAGTTAATCGTTTAAAGTCAGCGGGCCAGGCGATGCTATTAGTCAGCATTGAAAGTCAAGTGGGATGATATTAAAAAAAAAAAAGTTGCTCTTCTTAAAGTCAACGGTTGTATGCTAAAAAATAATCACATTTATTGTTTAGTTCTAGGTTAGAAAAATATAAAATTCGATAAATTACAAAAATAAAAAAGATTTACCATCTTGTTGACAATTGAAAAATCATGTCATGGATTATTTATAGAATTTAATTTTGTTTATAAAAAAATTTCATATTTTAAGGATTGAGAAAGTATTATAAAATTTGAATCTCAATTTTATTAGATGTTATTTTTTAAAAATAATTTTATAAATTAATTAAATTAAATTTTGAATTTATAAAATTTAAATTCTATCAACAAATTTAAAAGATTATCAAATATTTTATTAAATACTTTTAAAATAGAGTTATTTAAAAACTTAATATCGATCCAAGTTTAAAAGTCAATTCAATTTTTGAAAAAATTTAGATAAAAATATTATATTTAAAAAATAAAATTTAAATTAAATAAGACCTATTTAAAAAAACTAATATTCCATGAAATTGAACGAAATGAGGTTTCACGTGTTCATTTTTTTTGTTTCAAAAATATACTAAAACTTTACAAAAGCAATAAAATCAAAAAAGAAAAAAAAAAACATGATGATGGAGAAAAGGAAAAGCTTATGAATTCACAAATACTACTTAAAATCGTTTTTTCAGCCTTCAATTTATAATAGTGCATCAGAGAAAGAGTGAAGAGTGGTCAATGCTATAGACATTTTAATGTATTTGAACATAAGAAAATGAATATTTTTATTTATTTAGTTTCAATTTAGTTTTAACATTTAAATTTGAAATACAAATTAATATAGTAATCAAAATAAGCTAAACTTTTTGAATATTTAAAAAAATAGATGTAATTACTCTAAACGAAATATCAAATCAAATTAAAATAATAAATTATAAAATAATTATTCAAAAATTTTTACATGTCAAAAAATTACATCATACATATAAAAAATTACTTTTTGTCCAAAACTTTTACTATTTATATTATATATTCAAAAAATTTTGGAATGAAGGGCACTATTTAAATAAAATGCAAATGTTTTTTTTTTGGTTGGTCACTTTATCATATTAGCAGAAAATTTGAGGACAAAGAAATAAAAATAAAAATAAATACGGTACTCTAATTCAAAAGCCAAAAAGGTTGGTTTTTTTTCCCCGAGAGAGAGAGAGAGAGAGATGGAGAGAAACGAGAGATTTTGGCAGGCTTTGGGTCATCGGTGGGTGAAGGTGTATTGGATTCGGAGGAAAGATCGGCGTAAATTACCTGCCATGCTTACAAAAATTCCACGCGGAAACAAAAACTCTTTTATATACGCGTACTGGTGCAAAACAAACAAACCAATAATCAACGTTAAATTCAGAAATCAGAACCCTTTTTGTTTTGTTTTAAAAATCGCAGCCAACCCTTTTCTCATTCGTTAATCCTAACCCTATTTAAAAGTCTCCCCTTTTTCTAATTTAAATACCCTCACAAACTCTCAAACGCCCCTCACCCTTATTCTAACAACCAAAGTTCCTCTCCTTTTTGTCCAATTCTGCGATACCCAGAACTTTTTTTCTGGCTTTTTTTTTTCTTTTTGTTTTTGGAATCAAAACATTGTTCTTTTGGTATCATATTGTGAATGGTGGAAGCAATTCGGAGGAGTAGTAATTTCATGCTCTCCCTTTGCAAATCAAGGGCGAGCACTCTCCTCCCTGTTTCTGCAGCCTCTGCTTTCGCATTCGGTTCTTGCAAAGAAGGCTGGTACTACCGCTGCCTCGGCCTTGACCCATAAACACCCCCCAGAAACCTTTATAGGCTCCATCAATAACCCCAGATTTGTTTTTTGTTAACATTAGAAAAAAAAAAATAAACCCATTGTTTTTTTTATCTCGATTGTTGGTGAAATATTCATCCATTTTTGTTTGTTTGATTGTTTTGGATTTTGATAAAGTTTGAAAAAAAAATGTTGCTTTACAAGCAGAAGAAGACTCAGGGTCCCAAGGGCAACAGGCTCTTGATTAGCATCACTGTTTTGGGAAGTGCCGGGCCGATCCGTTTCGTTGTTAACGAGGAAGAGCTTGTTGCTGCTGTCATTGATACTGCTTTGAAATCCTATGCTCGTGAGGGTCGGCTTCCTGTTCTTGGATCTGATCTTAATGATTTCCTCCTTTATTGCCCCAGTGCTGGATCAGATGGTAAGTTTATTCAAATCCACTTGAATTATTACCCCATATCAGTTTTCACTTCAATCTTAAAAATAAAATTTTCCTAGGATTTGTTTATTTGGATTTTTGGCATAAATCTTGAAGCTATCTCCTGAAGTTCTAGGAGTAAAAATCACTAAGCCAAGGCTGAGTTGCTATTTAGTAGTAAAACGTATGCACTTGAAAATGCGGAATTGATTTTGTTTGGTTTGGGAAAATGTGTTGGGTTATTTATGATTTCGGTGTTCGGGATTTTTATTGCAGCACTGAGTCCATGGGAAACAATTGGATCACAAGGGGCACGGAATTTCATGTTGTGCAAGAAGCCAAAGACTGAGAAAATGGAAGATGATGGAAAGTCAACTGAAGCAATTAGTAGGAAGGGAAGTGGGAATTGGAAGGCATGGATTAATAAATCCCTCAATCTTAAGATTTCTTCCCATTAATTAAATAATTCTCAATCCTTTATGGTCTTTATTTCTTCTGTTAGCTTTACCTTTTAATTTAAGTACTGAGACTAGGCTATCATGGATAGCCATGGTAGAATGTTGGTTATGTTTTCACCCCATTTCTCATTCAACTGAGAAAGACCTAGAGTGTTATTCAGGAATAAAGTGAAGCTGTTATTCAGTGATTTTACTTTGCAATAAGAATGAAAGTTTTTGGTGTGCTCAATTTCCAATTTTTGTCTTTGAAAAGTGCTGTGTTTTTATGTTGAATGGTTGTGAACTTGTGATGGATGATCATATTTTGTCAATACTCCTGAAATCTTGTTGAGGAACTCTATTGGGTTTGACTTACATCCATTGTTTGAAAAGTTCTTCTGAGTTGCCCACAACCTTGGTGTTTGTCATTAGCTGGAACGGTTGCTTTGAATTGTCAATAACCCTAGCTCGTATCTTGCAAGCTGCTTTGTGGGATTTTCATTTGCTAGTTGGATATGGCTATTTGGCAAGAAATACAAGACATAGAGGATGGACTGAATCATTCAAATTATGACAACAACTACACACTAAGCCTTATATCCCATACTCTGGGGTCGGCTGTATGAAAAATCAAGACAATTAGGTTAGATTGTAGTTTGAATCTTCTTACAACACTAATTTCTATCAACAACCACATTTTCATCTAATTCTTTAACCTTCATATCGTTTTTTATTACTTGAATCCATATCTTTTGTGGTCTACCTCTATATATTTTGATCTCTTAGAGACTCAATTCTCTTAACCGATGCACCGTTAGGCTTACGTTTCATATGTCTAAACTATCGTAAACGGCCTTCTCTCATCTTCTCTTCAATTTGGATTACTCTTAATTTTTCTTGAATCTCTTCATTTTAATTTTGTCTTTTTTATTCTTACTACACATCCATCTAAGCATTATCGTCTCCGCTCCGTTTATTTTCTTTCATGTTGTTTCTTAACAGCCCAACATTTCAGTTTTGTTATCTGATCAATGGCTCACTTAGGAATTGAATCTTGTTAGGCAGGTGATGCTCATTTTTGAACTCTGGCCAAAATCAAACCAATGTTGGATTTGTTTCTCGAGATTAATAGTCTATTATTGAGGAGCTGATTGGTAGATACTTCTGAAGATCTTTCGACAAATTAGAATTTCGGTGAACCGAATAAAGCGGTAGTGTTCTGTTAAAGTTTTGACTAAAGGAGTCGGTCTTGTCTTGCCCAAATCCTTTCTCCTATTTCAAACTCCCGAGCTACTGCTGGTGTGCACAACAGGGGTCAAATTCTTATCAATTTTTCAAAAAATAGTTACTAGAGTTAGAAGTAAACTAATCAAACAGGTTTAGTGTTCACTTTCTCTGTTTAATTCATATTTGGTCTCAAGTCACCAGTCGAAAGATTCTAGTTGTTTTTGTTGACAGATTCATCTTTGTGATTGCGGAAGTTAACCTCCATGGTATTTGGGGCTTTCCACTTGAACATTTGATTTATGAGTTCACCAATATTGACTTCACTGTGGAAGGTTGACCATGATTTGAATGAAAATACATGCAGCAGGTAACCATATTTTTTATGTTAGAAATTGGAATGCAATGTTGCTTTCCTGATTATACAGCTTGAAATGTTGTCCGCTCTCCCTTTATTCCCCCCACATGCTACTGTATTAGCCATGCTTTTATTCCGTCCGTGCATTTTCAGATCAAATTTATGGAGTCGTATGAAAGCAAGTAAGAAGTGGGATCCCACCCTGGCCAAATACGTTCATTTCTAATGACTTGCAGCTGCTCAAGTCTATACAGGTTCTCTTTTGAGCTTTGACCTCCGGTCTATGACACGTAACAGGATGGCGAGGCAGTAATCTAAATGCTTCGTGACTGGCATCTGCCTTCTGGTAAAATGCATGGCTCTAAATTAGGTTACCAAGATGCCTTTTAAGTTTGATGTCTTGCTGCTAAACTGATCTTAACACACAACTCATTCCATTATCGACAGGCCATTATGTCATGGTCAACAATGAAAGATAGGAGACAGCTCGCTTTTTACATGAACCCTTTATGAGAAATAGGATTATCGGCATATCCGCTTGAAAGCTTAATCCTGCAATTGCTTTTTTCCCATCTTCTGGTCCCTACTAGAGATTGATATCTTTTGTGCATCTTTTACGGTTCAAGCTTTTCTTTTCTTTCTGTCTTTATTGATAAACGTTGAATATCCATGTGCAAACTGATTTTTACACTTCCAATTCTTATACGTTTCACGTTTTTATTTCCAATCCTAAAATATCAGCCTTCACTGCATGACTAACTGGGAATCTGGGATCGCTCCAAATAATGGATCACGCTTGAGGTTACGATTTACGAGGTCTATTAAGGGTCCGTTTAAAGGAGCAGCAACATTAAAAACAATAACGAAAGTGAGATTTATTATTGTAATAATAAAAATAAAATAAATTATTGAATATATATTTAAATGAAAAAATAATGGTGACAGTAAGGGTATTTGAATAAAAATAAATATAAATTTTATTTATTAGTTTATTATATAATAATAAATTATTAATTAATTTATTATATAATAATAATAATCAAAATAAAATATATTTATTAATTATTATATAATAATAAATCATATCATATATATTATATTACGATATAAATAATTATCATATGAAATTTACAATATGGATAATTTTTTTTAACACAAAAATCTCTTAAACTTCTCTTTTTAATAACATATAAGATATTTTTAAATTTTAAATTATTTATCCAAAAAATATATTTAAAATATTATTTAGTTGTCCATAATTTAAGTGGAAGATTAATTCATATATATTGTTTAGTTATTTAAAACTTTCAAAATTTTAAATGAAAGACCAATTGTATATTTTATATATATATATATATTATTCCAAGAAATAAAATTACCCAATAGAATGTGATGCTATGGACACTTGTGTAGTTGTGTGGATAATGTTTCTATTGACAATTAGGAAAATTCATAAAATTTGCACTCTACCAAATTCAAATAAATAATAAAACCATTCATATTAAAAATGTTTAAAATTATGAAAATTATCACGTTTAAAATATCATAAAAGAATAGACTTTTTTTTTAAAAATTAAATATAAATTTAAAACTATTTTAAAATATATATGTATCTAAATATTAAAATTTCATCTTTATCGCTTATTAACAGTTTTAAATTTTGGATATAATCTATTTTGCAATTTAAAAAGATATTGATGAGGTTTGGTCATTGTGTATCCTGATTTTGATAAGAATTCTTTTTAATCCCTAAATTATTCACGTAGATTGGACAAGGAACATATAGTAGTGTATTCCAAGCACTCAAAGTTGAAACTAGGAAGATGTTTAACCTGAAGAAGGTGCGGTTTGACAATTTTCAACAAGAAAGCATCATGTTTATGCCTCAATGTACATATCTTATTTTATCTAAAAAATTTTTGAAATCGAAAACAGATTTTGGCCATAACTTAGTCTCAATTAGGAAGCTTCAAGCCTAATAAGAAAATTTTTTATTTTTATTTTTATTTGATTTAAATGTTTGGTTTAATTTTACTTATTTTAAAAAGTAAAAAAAAATAAAGATTAAAAAAGAAGAACAAAATCGGGGATTTTTTTTAAATCAATCTCGAAATCAGGTTTGCATGAAATTTGAAACAAAATCAGAGATTTTTTTTAAATCAATCTCGGAATCAGGTTTGCATGAAATTCGAAATAAAATCTAAGCATTGATCAGAATCAATTTAAAAAAACCTTAAACTAAAGCAATATTTTAAAGCTAAATCACAAATCAAATAAATCACATATGATCAAATTGACAATTTGGGGTGAATTACTGCTTCCAAAATTAAAAGAAATTGAATCCCTTTATAAACTGGAATCGATCAACAAGTAAGGAAGGGAGAAATTATAAAAGGGTGGATTGAGATTTTTTGGTTGAAAGTTGCTGGTTCTGGGTTGGTTATTGGTTTCTGAGAACACGATTTAAGAATTCTAGGATTAAGTCCTGTAGACACCCTAATTGGTCTGAACCCAAGTCTATTGGACCTGGTTTAATAGGGCCCGAGCCTAAGCTCATTGGGCCTAATTCAATGGGATCCAAGTCATAGACCCAACTGTTTTTATTTTATTTTATTTTATTTTGGTTTTTATTTTTTATTTTTTTATTATTTATTTTATTTTTAGATAATAGGATATTAAAAAAAAACGAGAAAAAATTATAAATTCTGCCATGCATAGGCACTAGCAAAATTGCAATTAGTTTCAATCTCTTCAGGATGATTCTTAAAGTTTCTGATAATATGAAAATCCAATTGAAAAAGAATTTCTAATTGATCAGAAACTCTATTGAGTGTTCTCTATAAATACAACCTATGAGCAAATCACAAAGAGGGAGAGATCACACAGAGAAGAGAGAAAAACAAAAACCCAAAGATTACACAACAATAGATTAGAGAGGAAAAACATACAAAAATCATGAAACAGAGAGCAAAAAATAGAAGGTAGAATTCAAAAAAATTTTAAAGGGTGTCAGAAGTAATTTTAGGATTTTTTATAGAATTTTTTGTGTTTTTTTCTGAAAATTTTTTAGAAAATTTTCAGATTCTAACAAAAATTTTCGACGTTAGTTCAATTTTTCAACAAGTTTTCTGCGTCAGTTGAACTTTCTAGCAAACTTTCCTGATTCCATTAGCTTTCTAGTTTTCGACAGCAACTTTCTAAAAACTGACAAGCTTTCCAGTGAACTTCGGACAAACAACCCAGATTTCAGCAAGAATTTTTAGAATCCAGTTAAATTCAACCGATATTTTTGGGCGGATAAAAGAAAGAGAGAAAAGAAAAAGTAGAGAGAAAGGGAGCAAAGGTATTATGACGAAATAGGCTAAAACTCAAGCTTTTATAGCCTCCTCAAAATGACGTCATTTTGACGTTTAAAAGAGTTCAAAATCTATACGTTTCCACCTAGGGCAACCCAACCCATAGCGTGACCTGAACCAGCAACCCACGTCCTTACCTGGGCTCCAGCCTAACTGAGCCGCAAATCGAGCCACCAAGCCGCACCTCTAAGCCAATCTTTGTGCCTCAAGCCGAGCCGAGCCGCGCGTAAATATTTTTTTTTTCATTTAGTTTTATTATTTATTTATTGATTATTTTTTCTTTATTTATTTAATGACTAAATTTAAATAAGTTATTTATTTAATTAAACATATTTTAATTTTCAATGATCTCTTTAAAATGAAAATTTGAAAAAAAAAATATTTTTGAAGAAAAATTGAATGTATCAATTTCCTTTGAACATAAAAATTAAAAAAAATATTTTTGAGGGAAAGTTAAAAGTATCAATTTCTCTTGAAAATAAAAATTTTCAAAAAATATTTTTAAGGAAAAGTTGAAAATATCAATTTTTCTTGAAAATAAAAAAAAAAGATTTCAATAATGGATTTTTAAGGAAAAGTTAAAAGTATCAATTTTTCTTGAAAATAAAAATTTTCAAAAAAAATCATTTCTTAAGGAAAAGTTAGAAGTACCAATTTTCTTTAAAAATAAAATTTGAAGAAAAATATTTTTAAGAAAAGATTGAAAGTATCAAATTTTCTTGTATAAAAGCATGAGTTTTTTTCTTATAACATAAAAAAAAATCTATATCAAAAGTCGAATCATTTTTTTTTCTTTTTCTTTCTTTAGATAATTTTTAAATGTTAAATAATCTGACGACGGAGTCTCTGCAAGAGAAACAGTAGTTTTCTTGTGTACTCTTGAAATGAGAGAATTTTCTCAATTTTTCTACCAAAAGTATTGGAGTCAATCAAGAATAATTTTCAATAATTAATTACTTAATAAATTTTTAAGGCTTATTGGATAACAAGGAATTGAGCTGGTACCATCATTTAATGAGA